CTCTTCTTCCTGCTCTCAAACACAGCAGCTCCACCCGCTCTGTCCTCATGTCTCCTTGTTCCCTCCTCTTCAGGTGGTGTCTCCACCAGGGGCTGGATGTTGGAGCTGATTGGCTTCAGTCTCTCTGCACAGACACGTGATTTCTAGATCAGAGTTCAGTTTCACTTCTCAGGAAGAACTCACACAGTCGCTGACTAAAACACAAAATGGCACAGAAAGGAGATCAGCTGGACCCAGAAACTATCTCCTGCTCGATCTGTTTGGATCTACTGAAGGATCCGGTGACTCTTCCCTGTGGACACAGCTACTGTATGAGCTGTATTAAATCCCACTGGGATGGAGAGGATCAGAAAGGAGTCCACAGCTGCCCTCAGTGCAGGAGAACCTTCACACCGAGGCCTGTCCTGGAGAAAAACATCATGTTATCTGTCCTGGTGGAGCAGCTGAAGAAGACTGGACTCCAAGCTGCTCCTGCTGATCACTGCTATGCTGGACCTGAAGATGTGTCCTGTGATGTCTGCTCTGGAAGAAAACTGAAAGCCATCAAGTCCTGTTTAGTCTGTCTGGCCTCTTACTGTGAGAAACACCTTCAGCCTCATTATGAGTCAGCTCCACTTCAGAAACACAAGCTGGTGGAGCCCTCCAAGAACCTCCAGGAGAACATCTGCTCTCGTCATGATGAGGTGATGAAGATGTTCTGCCGTACGGATCAGAAGTGTATCTGTTATCTCTGCTCTGTGGATGAACATGGAGGCCACGACACGGTCTCAGCTGCAGCAGAAAGGACCGAGAGGCAGAGAGAGCTCGAGGTGAGACGAGAAACAATCCAGCAGGAGATCCAGGACAGAGAGAAAGATGTGGAGCTGCTTCAACAGGAGGTGGAGGCCATCAATCACTCTGCTGATCAAACAGTGGAGGACAGTGAGGAGATCTTCACTCAGCTGATCCGTCTCATCCAGAAGAGAAGCTCTGATGTGAAGCAGCAGATCAGATCCCAGCAGGAAACTGAAGTGAGGCGAGTCTTGGAGCTTCAGGAGAAGCTGGAGCAGGAGATCACTGAGCTGAAGAGGAAAGATGCTGAGCTGAAGCAGCTCTCACACACAGAGGACCACAACCAGTTTCTCCACAACTACCAGTCAGTGTCAGCACTGGGTGAGTCTCCACACTCATCCAGGGTCAACATCCGTCCTCTGAGATACTTTGAGGACGTGACAGCAGCTGTGGAGGAGCTCAGAGACAAACTACAGGACACCCTGAGAGACACATGGACAAACGTCTCACTGACTGTCTCTGGGGTGGACGTTTTACTGTCAGAACCAGAACCAGAACCAGAGAGCAGAGCTGGATTCTTCAGATGTTCATGTGACATCACACTGGATCCAAACACAGCACATAAAAACCTGTTACTGTCAGAGGAGAACAGAAAAGTTGAATTAATGAATCATCCTCAGTTTTATTCTGATCATCCAGACAGATTCATTGATTATGTTCAGGTTCTGAGCAGAGAGAGTCTGACTGGTCGTTGTTACTGGGAGGTGGAGTGGAGAGGAGGAGCAGCATCTGTAGCAGTCTCATACAAGAATATCAGCAGAACAGGACGTCAGTCTTTTTTTGGACTTAATGACAAATCGTGGTCTTTACGTTGTTTTACAGACAGATTTGTATTTTGGCACAACAACATTGAAACCTCCATCTCAGGTCCTGGTTCCTCCAGGATCGGAGTGTACCTGGACCACAGAGCAGGTCTTCTGTCCTTCTACAGAGTCTCTGAAACCAGGACTCTCCTCCACAGAGTCCAGACCACCTTCACTCAGCCGCTCCTCGCTGGACTTTTTGTTCACTGGACTGGAAGTTCTGCTGAGTTTTGTCAACTGAAATAATGTTTTTATTTAGTAACTTTGAGTTTATAGTTGTGATGTGACACTGATCAACTGATGATTATTATTTTTACAGTTTTTATTTTATTTCTACAAGTTTTCTTGATAAATCAATGTAAACATCAATTGTCTCTTAATCAAATTATTTTTCTCTCATAAAGGTTTGGTTCAGACTGTTTGAAGCAGAAAATACATTTATTTAGTTTGTCAATAATAATTTGTGAACTTTATTATTTACTTTGTAGAAATGTTTTATTTCAGACGACAGTAACAAAACAAAATATGTTAATGAGAATAATAAAATAAAAATTGTCAACAAACAAAATTAATGAAAGGACTTTTCAAGTTTTTTGTCTTTTTATCTGTGAAACAAACTGAGAGCAACATTTGTTGACAGATGAATTTAATAAACAAGTTTTTGTTTTTAGTTGACCTGAAGATCATCTTTTAATTAAGAATCAACCTGTTGACACTTTCTGCAGGAGATCCAGAGACTG